GTGTGATATCGTCAAAAAGCGCCAGCCGCTGATATATGTGCGCGCACTATAGTAGAAAATGGGACCTTGGATTTCACAAGTCTGTCATTCAGCAGGCGTCTTACGGAGGTGCGTCACGACCTCCCCCGCCTCCATCACCCCCACCACCCACCTCGATCCCTTTGCGGGGCTAGAATAATGAAAGTGGTCCCATGAAAAGCCTCTTTGTGATGTTTTTATTTGACATATCACTCGAGTGTGGAAAAAAAAAGTTGTCTTGCAGAAGGTGAAGCATCCTCGCTGAGCCCCGCGGGGGAGGGGGGACGGGGACTTTTACTTATTGGCCAAACTACAAATTCATTCCCAAGGATCACCTGCTGCCCTTATCATATGAGCGGTGCTGCGTTCGGTGGCACGTAATCATAAAAGTGGAGGGGGCCGGGGGGGGGGCGACTGATAACCTTCCCTTCAATAGAGCAGTGAAGCGAATGTGGGCTCTTATAAATATTTCATTGCGGGCATTGCGGGCTCCCACCCCCCCACCCCCTTTATCCAAGATGTGCCCTCTGACGGTGCTCCTTGGAGATGAGAAATAAAAATGCAAGCTCACATTTAAACATCACACCAGCCCTCAGCCATGCAGACAGCGCTAGAGAGGAACATAGTCTGGAGACCCTTTGCATATAACTCAACCTACGAATCTTAAAAGAGTAGCTCTCATGGTACATCCCCAAGAAGAACATTATGTAAGCCAGGGTATTGAACTAAACCCAATAAAAGCTCTCACAGGTCCCCAAAGTGAACCTCCAAACTACCATTTATATCCATGTACCCATTTGGGCCAAGTACTGGACTCAAATTGTACATTTTACAGCATGAAAAGTATACAGGTATGTTATTAACTGTTCCATTGACCCTGGAACCTGATCATATGATAAACTGTCCACTGTAATAACCGCTGTCCCTGAAAGGGTTCATCTCAAAGCAATCAGAATCAGCAATAAGCAACATGGGGGGGGGAGACAGAATGAGAGGCCACCACCCCAAAATGTAGAGTAAAGGGAGAACCAGTAGAGTCCATTTTGTCCCCCAAGGACGATTCAGTACCCAACGGCTGTGGTCCCCAATCACAGGGCCTCGGCCCGTTTGGGACCCGTCCGCACAGAGACAGGCCTGCGAGCTGTGAGCAAATTTACTCCATCAAAGGTGACGTGGCAAATATGCGCGACTCTAGCAAATCGGACTCCTCATTTTAACCTTTGTTGGAAAGTTGAAATAAAGAGAATCCGCCAAGAAATGAAAGAACCGGGGGGGAAAAATGCGAGCAGAGTTTGGCTGGCCACGTAAACATTCGCAGTTTAGTCTCTAATAACGAGCCGGCAGCCAACGGATGAAAGCAGCAATCAATCGTGTCACATTAGCACGTAGCAATGATGCTAACGCCGTATGTAAGATCATAATTTCAGTATTATTACGTTTACATTATATATTTGTTATTCAGAATTGGTTCTTTTCGTAGTAATTCACTGTTATTTTATTTTATTCTATATTTGTTGTATGAAAGGAATTGGAACAAAAAAGGTAATAAAATGTTGAATTACTCTATAATTACTTTTGTTCTCAAGTACCGTTGTTTTAACCCTTTCGGGGACAGCGGTTACTACAGTGGACAGCTTCATCATGTTATCAGGTTACAGGGTGCATGAAAGGGTTAAAACTGGAAATTTAAAAGCAATGAGGAAAAAAAAAAAAGATTGCCGGTCGCATGTACTTGTCTCAACCGGTCCGTGACACAAAAAATGTTGGGGACCACTGCCCCACGGTTTTGAACTAAACCCAATAAAAGCTTTCCCAGGATCCCAAAATGGGCCTCAATCCTACCATTGATATCCATGTACCGCAATTGTCCAAGTGCTTCACTCCAATAGTAACAACAAATTGTGACAAGTATGCTCCTAATCTCAAACCAACTGTACAAAAGTTGTAGTGAGAATGATATCCAACTTGTGTTTTGCCCTGCCTTACACCTGGATTTTGGCCTGTTTTACTGCCGCTTCTCTTCCGTTTTTGTTGTACCGTGAGATTTTGCTCATGTCAAATATGGAAATTTAAAAGCAATGAGGAAAAAAAAAAAAGATTGCCGGTCGCATGTACTTGTCTCAACCGGTCCGTGACACAAAAAAAGTTGGGGACCACTGCCCCACGGTTTTGAACTAAACCCAATAAAAGCTTTCCCAGGACCCCAAAATGGGCCTCAAACCTACCGTTTACATTCTTGTACCGCAATTGTCCAAGTTCCACACTCCAATAGTAACATTTCCAGCACAGGTATGCTCCTAATCTCAAACCCAACTGTACAAAAGTAGTAGTGAGAATGATATCCAACTCGTGTTTTGCCCTGCCTTACACCTGGATTTTGGCCTGTTGTACTGCCGCTTCTCTTCCACTTTTGTTTGGTGGTGTGCCGTGAGATTTTGCTCATGTCAAATATGTGCCTTGGCTCAATAAAGGCTGGGAAACACCGGTCGACTGTCAAGGGTACAAACCCTATCCGAAATTGGGGCACAGCATGGGACAATCTAGACTACGTAACTGTTCCTTTTCCTGCGTCAAAACGTTACAGACCCCAATCAGAAGAGCAAGTTCTGAGTGTGCCAAAAAAACTCTTTTCTGGGGGCAAATAGGGTAAAAAGAACATTCCCAAGCCGTATCACTTAAGGCAAATATGGGCGCAGTAAGTGACAATTTCTGTCTCTCGAGGTTCTTTTGAGACTAATGTAACGCCAAAGAGGGGCCGAAAGGATTCAAGGTGTGTTCACAAGCTGCAAAAGTCAAGTGTTGATTAATTAAATGGATTAGCAGAGTCTGTTGATGCAGGTACCATCGAAGGGGGATGGTAGGTGCCGATTTGGGTCCCTACAAGGTACAAACAAGTAATGCTACTAATTCGATTCCATACGTTTTTTTGTGACCAGAAATAAAGAAAATGTCAGACATAGGGGTATATTGGAAGTAGGCGGCGGGTTCGGTCCCAGGTCAATGCTTGTACCGTTCCTCGGGTCAAAATCCTCCAGATCCCAATTCTGAAGTCAAGTTGGGGGTCCTAAAAGACACTTTTCTAGGATACAAACATCATATGTCCCTGGGTAGGAAGACTCTGGTGACAAGGGTACAAATCCAACGCTAGAGGAAATAATGGGGGCAATCCAGTCCCTAAAATACAAAATCTAACCAGGCTATAATTATTTGGACTGTTAGGTCATTATTTGCACCTTTTCAAGTGTCAAAAAAGCTCCAGGACCTTAATCTAAAAACAAACTGAAGGTGCTGAAGGACTATTTTGGGGAGTTGTTCACTGAGTGTAAAAAGCCTACTGGCGAGGGTACAAACTCAACCCTGCCAGAAAAAAGGGTAGATCCGAATCTATTGTAAACTTCTAGAACTCTCTGGGTACTAAAGGAGCATTTTCTTGTGGTAAACAGGATACAAGGTATGCTCCTGGGGAAGTAGGAGATTCGTGTCAAGGATACTAAAGTCAGGCAGCATCCTATATGGTCAGGCAAAAATGTATCGGTTTGTGGATACTAAAGTCAGGCAGCATCCTATATGGTCAGGAATTGGGGTACAACGGGTGCTGATTTTGAGGGCAAAAATGTATCGGTTTGGTTTTTATACTTTTGAGAGCTACAGCAGGATGTGGCCTTCAAATGTATCCTTCATGAATGGATTCTGAACTATTTGTAGGGCCAAAAAAACATTTGGAGGTACCAGCTCAAGTGAGAGGACATTCCACTCCTTCTCGGTTGACCATTAGTTCCGCAATGGGGGGGATTGCAGTTTTTACATGAGCAACGTGGAATCATACAATATCTACGCAGCAGCATCAACAAATTCAGTCAGCGGTGTTGCATGTGCTTTAAATCCAACTCACCTTTGTCTTGTCCGCAGCGGTGCAAAGACAAGCTGAACTCGCTGGCAATCTCAGTGATGAACCAATGGCCTGGCGTCAAGCTGCGGGTCACCGAGGGCTGGGATGAGGACGGCCACCATTTCGAGGAGTCTCTCCACTACGAGGGCCGGGCGGTGGACATCACGACGTCGGACCGCGACAAGAGCAAGTACGGCACCTTGTCCAGGCTGGCGGTGGAGGCTGGTTTCGACTGGGTCTACTATGAATCCAAAGCCCACATCCATTGCTCGGTGAAAGCAGGTATGCCGCAAGATGATGACGAAGCTTTTGTGATCAAACCCAACCAGTATTATTACGATTCTTATGAACATGACGGAAAAATAAGTGCCATTTTTTTCGACATTTTTTCCAAAAACGTACCTATTTTGAGAATCTCGGTTCGGGCGGCAGTATTATTGTTTCAGTTGAACTGAAAAGTTAAATTAGGCAAAATGAGACTCTGATACACATTAAAAAAAATAATAACAATTATCCAAATGATCTTGAATCATAATCTAGTTTCTAAATAGATTGTGAAGATTTTTGGGGGCTACATTGCCATGAAAAAGTATTTGCCGCCTTCCCGATTTCTGTATTCTTTGGATATTCATCACACACAAATATATATATTTTTTAATCCAAACCTGTCTGTCCCTATGTGAAAAAGTAATTGCCGCCGCAACCTAATAATGGGTTGTGCCACCCTTGCCGCCCTTCGGAGAATTGCTTCAACTACGCCATGGTTTGCAGGGTTTTCTAACATGAATTGATTCACACCAAAACATCTCAATTGGGTTCAAATCTGGATCCATGAGCGCTTGAGTTTGAGGGCGTAAACGGATTGTCAAACATTCTCCTTCAGGGTTTTCTGGTAGACAACAGAATTCATTGTCCCATCATTCACAGCAAGTTGTCCTGGTCCTGAGGTAGCAAAGCAGCCACAGATCATCACATTGCCAACACCATGATTCACTGTTGGCATACTTCTTTTAATCAAATGCTGTGACATTTTTACCCCAGACGTAACAGGTCACACATCTTCCAAAAAGTTCAATTTTTGACTCATCAGTCCCGGCCAGCGAGGTCTAGAATTCTTTGGGTATTGTTCTAATTTTTTTTTTTTTTTTTTTCAAACCTCCTGGATGAGTCGTCGTTGCACTCTTGGATTAATTTTAGCTGGTTGACCACTCCTGGAAATGTTTGCCGTTGCTCCCAGTTTTATCCATTTGTGGATACTGGCGCTGACAGTGGTTTGCTGAAGCCTCAGAGTCCTGGAAATTATTTTGTAAGCTTTTCTAGTCTGATCGATTTAATTTACTTTTTTCTAATTCTTGAATTTCTTTGGATCATGGCATGATGGATTTGTTTCTCGAGATCTTGTAGCCGACTTCACTTTGTCTGACAGATTCTATTTGTGTGATTTCTTGATTCAACAAATGTGGTGCTAAAGTGTTGCCTGTGAAATTGAACTGAGCTCTCCCAAAACTGTCGTTAGTCACAGTTACATTGTGATTTAACAAGCGGAGGAAATTACTTTTTCACATCGGGACAGGTAGTTTTTTTATTATTTTTTGTGCCTTAATAAATTAAATTGGCATTTAGTGACTTCATTTTGTATTTCCTTCAGTCGTCTCTGTGTGATAATAAATTTGGTTGAACAGAAACCTTAGTATGTGACAAAGATGGAAAGAACAAGCGCTTGAATTCTTCTGATCCCGATCAATCAATCTCCATTCTGAGGACTTCAGCAATCTCAAAAACTCATCAAATTTTGCACTTGAGTCTTGCCAGATGTCTACAAATTTAGAACATCCCCCATGTGGCCCCTGCGAAATTGGCCCCTGAGACCAACTTCTATTATTGTTTAGCATGATGAGACACAAGAAAACGTTTCAAGAAGCCCTAATTATATAATGAACAACAACAAAAATCAACAAAATAAAATCTTTTAAAATTCTGCAAAAACAATTCCAAATTATATATTTTTCTTACCTGTTTTGGTACAGTCCGTGCATCTTCTACATCCAAATCATTGTTTTAGGTAGCTGTAGTCCTGCACTATACAACATCATTAATATTAAAATGTCATTAGAAGGAAGTCATTATCTCAGATTTAAAAAAAAAAAAAAGCAAATACAGCAACAAAAAAAAATAGTAATAAAAGAAAAAGATAATTGGGCAAAAATAATTATGTATTATGTAAAACTGCACAATTTCTTGAAATGACAGGGGGACAGATTCCACTTAACCCTTTCAGGGACAGTCGTTACTACAGTGGACAGGGTGGATGAAAGGGTTAATAACAAATAAATAAATAAATGTATAATTAGATTAAATGAATAGATAAATAACCCCCCCCCCCAAAAAAAGTCGGTGAATTTTCTCCATTCAAAGTGGTTGTCGGTGGATGTGGTCCTTGGTCCTGTAAAAATATTGTATGTAAAAATAATATATATATAAAAATAATATACCTGTACATATATATATATATATATATATATATAATTTTTTTTTCTCACAAATCAGGAAACTCTCCAGTCATTGATTGTTGTTCATGAGTCTTCAACTAAAGGCCCTATTAACCGCTCAGTGATCACATTTGTGGGCCGGGCGCCCGACAGGTCATTTGTGGGTCAGGTGACTTGACCAAAAGGATTTGCCCAACCAACAATGTCCAGTCACTGAGGCCAAATCTGGTTTGCGGGCTTGCCACCTTATTTCATGTCCGTGAATCTTAAAAGAAGATTAAAAGCCCCCCCAAATTCTGAGCGCAAGCCCACCTCCTCTTCCAAGAAAGTGTGATCCTAGAGACTGGTATGTGAAGAGCTCCCCACCAAGGCCAAAATTATTGTCATCAAGACAAGTCACAAAGCATCCTTGTGGGCAGGGGGACGTGGGCGCGAGCATTTAAGGAGTCCGGGGGCCCTCATTTAAATTCAAATCTACAAGTGGAGAGCCTCGCAGGGTAAATAGTCAGTGGTGAGTTGCCTGTTTGTGTGAATTGTCACATAGAGGGTCCCTGCACCTGAGCAAATATAGAAGGGAGGGAGAAGATTGAAGGGAGGGAGCGTGAAAAAAGTTCTATGGTCATCCACAAGATGTTTTTGAATGACAATGGCCGCTCTTTATTAGGGGTTTTTTTTTTTTTTTTAATTGGTAGATGAACCCAGGCTTTTTTGGGAGGCTCAGACTATTTGGAGCGGGCCAATACACATCCGGCACAGAGGGGCAAAGAGGCAAGGAATGCTCTTTTTTTTTTTCTCGACTGTATTCAGGAACCTTTGGGGGAATGTTCAAGCCCATTTGAAGTATGTTGCTAACCAAAGCAGCAGCACCGAGTGAGGCACACAAATGTGGAATCTGGCTATTTGTAAATGAATTGTTTGAAATCCCGCTTTCACGACCCAATGACGCTCCAAATACGCCTCCCACCATCTGCAGTTGAGTAATTACATTCACGGAAATACAGTAATTGCGGAAGAAAGGGCAAAATGCTTGATTGGGGAAATAATTACGAAAGAGGCTCGGTTCTGTTGATATCGAAAATCCAAATCTTGGTTGAGGGGATTGAAATTCTGTTGCTCAGCAAAACAGCAGCACCTACTTTTTTTTGAGCATTTCTCATTCACAAGATTTTAACCGCATAAACGCTTTCAGGGACAGCGGTTACTACAGTGGACTGCTTATCATGTTATCAGGTTACAGGGTGCAGGAAAGGGTTAAACCAACATCTGCAGCTGACTGAATCCAGCCAATATGGGCCAATGTAATGTCGAATATTAATACTAAAGTCGGTTGTGGCCACGTTGACAGAAAACTCCGTGGCGGCCAAATCCGGAGGCTGCTTCCCAGCATCCTCCACGGTGACACTCCAGGACGGCTCCACCAAGCCGATCAAGGACCTGCAGAGCGGGGACAAGGTCCTGGCAGCGGACGGCGACGGCAAGCTCCTCTTCACGGACTTCCTCACGTTCATCGACCGCGACTCGACCACGCGGCGGCTCTTCCACGTGGTGGAGACCGACGCGGGCCATCGGATCACGCTGACAGCGGCGCACCTCCTCTTCGTGGTCACCAACTCCACCCGCGGAGCTTCGGCGGTGTTCGCCAGCCAGGTGCGGCCGGGCCAGGAGGTACTGGTGCCGTACGGCGCGCGCCTCCGACCCGTGACCGTGGCGCGGGTTTCCACGGAGGTACACGTTGGCTCGTACGCGCCGGTTACCGCGCAGGGCACGCTGGTGGTGGACCGGGTGCTCGCGTCCTGCTACGCCGTGGTGAGCAGCCATGAACTGGCCCACTGGGCCCTGGCCCCGCTCCGGCTCGCCCATTGGGTCTCATCGGTGTTCTCCGGCTCGCAGGCCGGCAACTATACGCATGAAGACGGCGTGCACTGGTACTCCAAGGTGCTCTATCACTTAGGAACGTGGCTCTTGGACCCCCGCGCCTTGCATCCACTCGGCGTGTCCAGCTGAAACCAGACTTGAGGGCCAGACTCTTTCTCACACACTCACACACACACACACACACACACACACACACACACACACACACACACACACACACATTCATAATAAATACAAATAAAAATACATGTAGGACTCTTCAGTAGATTAAATAATAATAATTAAAAGAGGAAAAAAAAAACTCGACAAAGGCCCCATGCAGTTGGAGTTGATGACGGGATATTTATTATTTCTGTGACTTTTCTATATGATGATGACGACGCGTCCCCCCTTTCAAAGAATGAATGGAGCCTTAAAAAAAAAGAGAGAGAGAGAAAAAGTTTGAATAATTTATTCTCACACGAACTGATGGCTGCGGTGAAAAGTGTGCATAATCTATTTTTGTATGTGTCCGATGCAAGACCGACGAACAACGAAAAGACAAAAAAAAAGGTCAATAGTGGCAAAGAAGACGAAGGTAACTCATGACAGGTTGTAATGTTCATCATGTGCACGCGCGCACACACGCTTGCGCGAGTGTAAGTAAGTGTGTGCGTGCGTGTCCAACTGACTGTTATATTTGGGGGAAGAAACACACTTGGCGGGGTTTCATAAATTATATTTTTATACACAGAATTGTAAATTAGATTTTGACAGATCGCTACCGAATTTGAAATAGTGTAAAGACATGAGAATATATTTTAATTTAAATAGAGTAGTATTGTGGAAAAAAGTGTTGGAAAATGTAAAAAAAAAAAAAAAAAAAAAAAAGTATTTTTTGGGGTTGTCAGAGACGGACAGATATTCTGCCTCATGTCTGCATTCTTGACTTTGTGTTGCTATTATTGTTTTTATTTTTTATTTGATTTGATTGTGTTCGTTTTCCTCTGAGAAAAAAAAACAACAAAAAAAACAAACAAAAAACAAATGCAGATTCTGACAATTCGAGAACAGTTCCAAGCCGTACTGTTTCAATGAATAAATTGATAAGTAACTCATGTAAATGTACTAAATATGTATTTTTCTTTTTCCTCCATATTTTCAGTTGTAATAATAGTCATAGGGAAATAGTTTTAAAGAGATGCAGTTTGTACACACCAGACACACACATACGAGATATATATATATATATATATATATATATATATATATACACACACACATACATACATATATATGCGGCTAGTAGTTAACTTTCATAACAGGGCGATGAGTCGACAAAAAATGTCTAGAGTTTATTATTTATATGTTTATTACGAAAAAATTATGATAAAGAAATTGTGTTCAAACTTGGGAGTTGTTAAATGTCTCTGTTTGAATGGAAGGGGCGGGCGGGGGGTTATTTGTTAAACGCAATCGGTCAAATAAAAATCGAGGAGTCTGCGGGAAAAGAGAGAGGGAAAAAAAACAACAATAACGTGTGGCTTACAAAAAAAAAAAAACGGACATGTTGGACTTTGAGAAACCTTTCGCGTGCTTGTGAAATGTGGAGCGCTCTCGTCAAATGTGACGAGCTTTGCCCTGTGCAAATAACCTCCATCTCGGCACACACAACGCGTGTTTGTTGGGTCCCTCGGAAGGCTTTACAGGCTTATTAAAACCGCCGTGACGTCTGCAAACGTCATCAATCGCCAGTTTGGGACGAAATTGAGGCCGCAAAGTGGCTTGGTGGGGCGGGGGCGGTGATTTTAGCGAGGATTAAGCGGTACTCGTTGGGAGAGTTTGGCGTTAAAAATTGGGCAAAGACGACACCTTGTGGAAACCCTTGGTAATGCAACATGGGAGCGTTGAGGGCAAATTGTTTCGGTTTACCTAATTTATGAAAAGACAAAAAATGGGTAACGCCGAAATATTTAAAAAGATGACCGAATTTGATAACGTGAACAAATTTGGGGCCCGTAAAAGTGACATTCCTGAGAACATTTAGTTGGGAAATGGTCAAAAATAAATAAACAAAGAAATAAATAAAGCTAAATAATTTCTTAGTTAATGCTTAATTTTGTGTTAGTGAGCATTTCTCCTTGACCGAAATAACACCACTCCACCTCACAAGTGTGGCATATGAAAATTCTGATTAGAGAGCGTGACCTATTGTGGGCAGTCGAAGGCACACCTGTGCAATAAATACGCTGTACTGCATGAGACAGGATATGGCAAAACTGCACATTTTAGAGCGGCCTTTTATTGTGGACGGCATCTAAGGTACACGTGCGATGACCATGTTTTCTATAAAAAGTGGCTGGATTGTCTCGGGAAAGGATAGGTGTTCACTAACATTTAGAACTTTAAAAGCGCTCGTGCTCATAATTGTTTTTTTAACTTTTGCTTTCTAATTTTGAAATCTGCTATCTTTGCTAGAATATGGGATATTCAGACGACTTTTTTGATTATTATATGTCAACTTCAAGTACTCTTTAATAGTAAGGTAACCTTTCTACCAAGGTTCATCACCAAGCGACGACTACAAAAAAGAATTGCAACACGAGCAGGGATTCCACGCCCTGCTCTCAGGTCACCCACATTGTGTGTACTTGTTGATATTGTGAGGTGGAACTCCCACCTCACCCCCCCTCACCCCACCCCAAGTGAGTGGGTGCTTGGGTGGGGTGAACGGTGGTCCATCTCAGCCGCCCGCGTGTGACCCCGAGGATCCCTGCCTGCGGATACAAAAGCATGTGCGAATGAGGGGCGGCATTCCTGGCAGCAGGTAAACAGAGCCTCCCGTCTAATCCCTCCCGGGGCCCTGGAGTCTGCCTCGCAGCTCAACGGAGAGGAGAGAGCGAGAGAAAAGAGAGAGAGAACACGACAGCAACAAAGAGAGAGAGGGCCTTTCACAAATGTTGACTTTTTGCAAAGGCCGACTGTCTGGCATTCGGCAAAAACACAACTGCCTTACAAAAATAAAAGCTCCTCCTTTGCTTTTTCTCCTCCGGTTCCTCCCCCCGCCAACAGACGTCGCATAAGATGGATGGTTCTTTTGTGCATACAGTCATTAGAAAAAAATATTTATATATGTATTTTGCATGTTTAGCTAAACTTTTGTTTTAGATCTTCCAGCCAATTATCTCACAGTCAGCCTGGGGCTGTTTGGCAACTTCAGGACCTTGACGACTTGCTGCAGTGATTGGAATAAATTCTGCTGTCGACCACAAAGTCTTTTAGGTGAACATTCAGCAAGTTGTCAGACATTTGCCGTTGGTACCAGATTCCAATTGGGCCTCATTAGGCTGAATTCCACAGTAAGAGCACCCAAAATGGCGGCTTCAAATCCGAAATGTCAGACTTCTTTTTCAATGTCCGGCATGGGCCCTTAAGATGTTTTCATGCATTGTCCGATGAGACACACGTCCGCCAATTTATTATTATTATTTTTAAGACATTGTGTTGAAAAATAGGGAGGCATTTTTTTGTTCTTGGACAAAAAAGGAATAGAGCGTGTTTTATCTTGTGTTGCCATAAGCCCTTTCAAGTGATAAGGCGTAATTTAGCAAATCAGCAACAGTCAAGTGCATGCTTTAAATTCCTTAGATACATCAACGCAACGCTTACAACCGTAAAGTTGACTTGGCAAAGACTATCGTCACACTGGGGAAGCTGACTGTGTCATCATTTCACAACACGGCATTTTGAAATTTTAAGTTAAAGAAAAAAATATTCCAGTTACAAGATATCGTTCTGGTTTCACATTTGGCTCATTAGCCGACACTGCATTCACCCCCCCCCCCCAAAAAAAAACATTAATGTTATGAGAACACGGACTAAAAAAAAATTGTAAAAATGTGGTGACTGGAGATCCACATGAACTTTTCTCTATTTTTTTTTGCACTGATTCCACGTCATTTTTTTCTGTAGCAAATCAGGGTTTTATCACGATAACAATAACAACATCACATGTAATATATTTCGTACCATTGATGAATTAACGGTTAGGTTTAGGAACAGGTGGATTTTTTTTCTGAAACGTGAGCTATAAATTACAATGCTTGTTAAAAATAGTCTTTTGGAAGCTTCCATTGGTCAAATTTAAAAACTGTCAAAAATGGGATGTGCTAGGGGGGAAAAAAATTTAAAAGCCGAAAAAATACATTTAGGGACACAAAAACATCGGATTAAAATTTGCTGTTGACCATATTTTGTTACGTTGACTTTTAGTGTGAGAAAAGACAATATAAAGTACAAAATTGCTAACTCTCTAAACTCTCATACAAATGTAAATTAGGACTAGCGCCAACCCTTTTACGATAAGAACCTACCAGATTATAGCAGGTATCCATCCATCCATCAAAGTCTTGTTCAAGCACAGTCCACACCAAGAACAATTGACCAATTTTCATGTGTCAAAGAGTTTTAATTCTTTTGTTTCCACTTTGTGATCTCAAATTGAACAATTCCATGTCTTTTAAAAGTCTTTTAAAAAAATAGACATCTTTCAGTACATTCAATTTTAAAAAAAAAATGCACGTTGATTTTCATGTCAAAACATTAGTTTGGACACACGTTAAACCAGTTCAGTTTGCTTCAAAATTCAAGCTGGCTTTTCCACAAAGTGAGTCATCTACACATGGTAACAAGTGCAGCATGTTATGTTTCACAAAAAGAGAGAAAGAAAAAAAAACTCCAACCACCATAACGGCGAATGTCAAAAAAGTGCGTCAAGTCTTATGAGAACTGTACAGTGGCTTTTAGAGAAAACCAGTCTGCTCCATATCCACTGTTGGCGATCCGGTGGGGGGCGGGGCCACCCTGCTCGTTACAAAAGTCTTTAATGAACAAGACCATCGTCGAGGAAAAAAGGGGGAGGAACGTGAGAGGAAAAGAAATGAGAGCGGTGAGAGACTAGAAAGTGCACCGTCGTTGCACACCGGGTGTGGCGGAGCCTCGCTGTGAAGTGAATGTTACGGTTAAGACTGCAAAAAGGACTTCTGGAGGGCTGAAGGGGGGGGGGAAGTAAGATTAGTGGCGAAGAAATTGCGACACCTATGGCCACAGGTGGTAATAACAAGTTCAAGTGAGGGGGGGGGGAAAAAATACAAGATTGAAAACATGTTATGTTTATGTTGAAGTGACGAGATAATGACATTGCCTTCAACATAATTCGTTATTCTTGGTCACATTTGATGTTTTGTGTTTGACTTTTAAGTAAATAAAGATTTAAAGATGCTTCGAAATCATATTGACTCTTGTCATCAGGAGACAAATAAGTGAAGTAACACCCTGCTATTCTAGGTTTGTTATTTGGAAATGTATCTATTTGTCGGTATTTTTTTTGGAACCCATCCGCCATTATTTGCTCCCCACCCAAAAAAAAATTGACAAATTTTTGTGTGCGATCTATAAAGCTCAAAGATGCCCACGAGATGGCACCGGCATCCAAAACAGAAACTGGCGTCAAGGAGGTTGACCTGATTTTTTTCCCCTAAATCATTTGCAAGTCATTTATTTTTAAGAGATGATATAAATTTTTTTTTAAAAGTTCCCCCCCGCATGTTCCATCATGTGCACAACGCCACGTAGTTTTCAAAATTATCCACCTAGCTATTATCCACCTATCTGATTCGCTTCTCCGAAGCTCTTTATTTTTCATGTGGCATGATTAATTTTAAATATTTCGTGTTTTGGCATAATAGC